CTCCTCCGTCACCATTCACGCTCGCCTGATTCTTATCGGGGCCCACCTATACGCCACAGCACAGGCCGGGGGGACCGAGTGTACGTATACGCGAGAGATTTCACGTAACGCCGCGCGCGCGCGCGCGCGCGGCTCGACTCGCGAGTCTCAGGCGGCTCCAAGCTCCAGTGACTTCCTGCACGGTGATCGACTTGCTTTGTTTTAAATTGCACTTCCTTAAAATTCCCGCGGACTTTAAATTACTGTAGGTATGCATTACGCGTTTGCTCGCGTGGAGAAATCAGATCTCCCTGCAATTCTGGGAGAATTAATAAACAACGTCCGCATCTCGTTTTTCTTCCCCGGCGATCGACATCGCGCTCTTATGATATCTTTGTCACGCGAGTCGCCCGCTTATATGCGAAGGACATTTGCAGACAAGGTAAAGAGTAAACTTGCTTCGTATATATATGTATATCCGACATAATTTCCTTGAATCTCGAAACGTCAAGATAATTTTACGCTGTGAACATGTTGAATTGATCTGAATAGCAAAACTCTGAAGTCGCAATCTGAACGTTAACATTATATACGATATCGGTCACGCTGGTATTGGTAATTGTAAAAGAAACGTCCATGCTGTCGCTGCGTTATTACTGCATCGCCGTAACCTTCCTATACGGATCGTTTACTCAAGTAAAGACGGTGCATTCTTCGGGGGATGGACGGGGAGGACAGACACGGCCAAAATTTCATTCGTGAAATTTTCACGAGATCGAAAGATCCGTCTCGGGGTGAGAAACGAAGGAGAGAGGACAGAGGCGGGAGAGGAGGGGCGGGGGGGAGGGGAGGAGAAGCGGGTAGCCGGAGGGAGAGACAGAGCGAGACGGTGCTACCTTTACGGTAAAGTAAAATCTACAGAGCGCCGGGCGGCTACAAAGCATGGCTGGCCATTACGTATTTATTAACTTTAGAAATTTATAGATGCCTCCTGGGCGCGCGGGCCCCGTCGGCCCCCCGCGAGTAGCTACGTTCCTGTCTCCCCTTCGCCCCCTCTCCCCTCCCCCCGCTCGCTCCGTCTCCCCCCGCGCCGTCCAACACCCCCCGCGCGCCCGACCCCGTCTCCCTTGCCGCCGTCTCCACGGCGGTCTCCACCCCCGGGGGCGGCCGCCAGCCAGTATTAAAATGAATTATTTAATATTAAACTTGGTAATTTTTAACCGTATTATATCAGAAATTATTTACGCACCGGCTTCAGCGCGCGGCTATTTCCCGCTCCCCTTACCTCTCTGTCGTCCCCCTTTTGGCCCCCCCCCCACCCCTTCCTCTCGGCCCATCTCTTCTTGTATCCGCTATTCCCCGCGTATCTTCCTCCCCCCCCCCCTCCCGCCCCTCGGCGGCTGCATCGTGACACGCCGTCGGTTTTTCCGTAAATCATCCTCCCACGGTTTCTTACGTCGTGGATTATTGCCGCGAGTGCCACCTGCACCGGTGCGACGGTCGGTCTTCTTCGCGTCGAGATTTATCCTGCACGAATACCCCGAAAATTCGCGGGGAAACTTCCGAATTTCACTGTCGCGCGAACCAGTTACTTCGCCTTCAGCTATACCCTACGCTAAAGTTTGCGTTCAATTTGTTATCTATTTATAGGGAGAACGAGTTACTCAGAGGCGCCGAGCCACCTTTTTTTTTTTTTAAATAATTGACACCGCGCCGAATGATACAATTCAATATTCGAACGCGTTCGTAAATTTTTATTCGCAATGTCAGACGTGCGGGAAAAACGGTTGAAAATTAATACTTGTTCTCTTGCAGTTTATTCTGCCGTGAGCATCGAATATGCCATCGAAAATTGCGCGCGAGGAAAAATAAATTCTGAATTTGTCAATGAATCGGAGGTTTCCCGTTACAGCTCGCAAATGGTAAACGGTCTATCCGCCAAATGATTTAACGATTGTGATTGAGATCGCTTCCAGTTCTCAATACTTCAATTGATTACTCTTTACCGCGTGCGGAAATGCAAATTCCTTGATAATACAACAGACAATGTTATTACGCGCCCGGCGACGGAATTATTCTGGCAAATAATAAACAAATAAACGAACGGCCTGCCTATGATCAACCATTGTAGCGCCCGCGATCCGACGCGTCCCACTTCAAAGCCGACGGACGCATAAATAGGTTTAACGCTCAAAATGGACGTACTTTGGGGCAAAAAAAATATTCCCGGACTACTGAACGCTTAATGTGACAATCGCGACTAATGACGTTGCCGTAACGACAATCTTTAACCGTCAAAATTAACAAGAAAAGAGTAAATAAATTAAATTTCAGCATGCATACTTTCCGCCACGGTGATTATTATCAAGAAAAAGAAGACATTTTTTTTTCATTTTAGAGTAACGTGTTCTCAATTACAACAAAATAAAAAAGCGACGCCATCAGAGGAATAGTCGAACGAGATACAGTCGCACCACGATGATTATGATAATTACCGTTATTCTTGCTAATATTAATTAAAATCGCCGACAATGTCCAAACTGCCTCTAAACAAATGGGCGAGCACTCGTGGGTCTTGCAGGTCGCGTGATTAGCGCTCGGTAAATATTGGCGCGCACGTACAGACGTGCGCTTACGTACGCGTACGTACACGCCGATCGGAAAATTAGCATTTACGAAGCGTGCACACGCACCAAGGATATAAGCGTGCGTGCGTACGTACGTACGTACGTGCGTGCGCGCGCGCGCGCACACGCGCTGAGCCGCACGCTCGGTCGCCCACGTGTGCGCGCGCGAGAGCCCGCGATATTAATTGTTACGACGGGAAAGGTAAATAATTATTATAATTGTCCGGTATAATAATAGGATTCCGCGTTGGAGTGCCGCTTACATATCGTTCGTCGTAATAAAGCGCCCATGGATTTCGAGCTCTCGTCCATCGATATCAATATATCGGCGGGATGGCGTGGGACGTCGAGGGGTTGGTTAACACAACGAGAGGAAAAGAGAGAGAGAGAGAGAGGGAGAGAGAGAGAGAGAGAGGGCGAGAGCGCCACTCACGGTGTGCGCGAACGTGTATACATATACATGTGTGTATTCGTATAATTATATATGTATATGTATACACGCGGGCGCGGGCTCACTACTCGCGCTGCGCGGGTGTATAATGCATATCGAGCGGTTATATTATATGCGCGCGGGCGCGCGCGCGCCTAAACGAAAAGCCTAAATATATACCGGGCGGCGTGTGGGGATCACGCCTATAGGCGGCTATTTGAGCGATAAACAAGCGTGCACGCGGGCGCTCGCGCGCGAGGGAGCGAGCGAGCGAGCGGGTTACGCGCGGTGAGGGAGAAGAGCGGGGGGGGAGGAGGGAGGAAGCGGGGCGGAGGGCGGGGAGGGACGCAGGTATAGGGTACACCCGATGTGTCACACGCGGCGAATGGTAAAATGTACACACATATACCGGGTGGTACGCCTCCATTGTGCAGCCCGCCCCGTCGGTGTATCAATTGTGATTAGGGACAAAGATCCGACGAATTATTCCCGTTCCCGGTCTCTAATCTGATAGCCGTGGCGCTCGTGCGCGCACACGTCATTGCATCGATTGTTTCTGCATGTGGGAAATCATAAAGGGCAATGCGTTCCAAGTGTCTTCATTGTGCGATAATAATGAAACGCTAATCAAGTGTATCTGGGCGCCAGCGAGGGCCGTTTTCCCCATCCCCCTCGCCCTCTCCCCTCCTCACCCCTCTCGACCCCGACTCCGCTCTCTCGCGCCCTGCTCGCCGCTTTCCCGCGACCTCCCCCTCCCCCTGCCGCCCTCCCTCCCTCCCTCCCTCCGCCGACTCGCGGATTAATTACCGGCTTCGCGACGCTTAAATTATTTTCCTCTCGATCGAAACAAACTCACCTACGTGAAGCGAGTAACTCTATCTGCACGCGTTAGGGGAATCCCCCGGATCGTCCATAAATCGAGGACCAATTCATTATACGAAATGATACAAAACGTACGTATGTACACGCGTACGTACTTTCAGCCTCGGTCCGCGGTAAACGAGAGATCGAACCGCTCGCGATCAGCATTTCGCATTGAAAAATGCGGCTGTACCTCTTTTTTCTTATCGTGCCGTGCGCGCCACCGTCAATCTTGGATGGATCGCCGAAGGTAATTGAATGGGATATCACGGAGAGCAGCGTGGTTTTTTTTTTCGATCCTTAGATCTCTGTCTGCCTCAAATTGAACGTACGATATTCTGACAGAGAAAAATAGATTACGTGTCACGTAAATAGTTGACGTAATTAGATAAATTTAATAGGCTCCAATTATTGTGTTAAATTATTGGGAAACTATTGGGTCAAATTTAATTCTTTATCGTATTTTATCATGCTTTGACATTGCCAGTTCACAATGTTATGATTGAAATATGGTAATAATATATTTGGTTAAACACATTATTAAACTTTCCATATAATTTTCGTAAAAACGTATGATATTTTAAAACTTGATTACATAACTACTTGAGAATAAAGAAATATTTTTCATTATCGTTCAAGTATACTTGAAGATTTACACGATAGTTTCTAGAAAAAAACACAAGTTATTAAAAAAAAAGTTTTTCAAAGCAAGGCCTACGTTTTATTACCGATTAGCAGGCCTTACTCATCTCGTCGGGTCCGGGAAGGGTTATTACTCGCGAACGAGACGAGACGACCCGTTCGCAAGTGTCTCATAAAAATTCTTAGCCGGTTCACGGAGGCTTTTTACGGCTTCATCGAGTCGTTTCCACGACCGACACCGTAATAGCATTCGGGAGAGAGAAAGAGAGAGAGAGAGAGAGAGAAAGGGAAAGAGAGAGAAGCAGCGAAAGGCGCGCCCCGAGGGCCAGGAATGAAAAACCGAGGGGTAGAACGGATGAATCAATCGCAAACACAGGAGGGTTTCGGCGTTTCCGCAGTGGAGGGTCACGACACTGGGTTACCGGGTGTATGCACCCCCTCACTTGAAGCTAGTGCGCTAGTTCGCTCTTCACCCATCGAAATTCGGCTCGCGAGGCTTCGATGTGCCGCTCACGAGGACACACACGCACGCACACGCGGTGCATCGTTCCACGATTGGTTAGCGTTTAAGGTAAATCGAACAGTTGTACGCCTACGGTTCTACTTTTTTTCAGTCGCATTATTTTTATTATTGCCAGATTTTCACCTGTCAATCTATGGACTGATAACTTTCCCCGCTAAAAAATATCGAGACACCTGTTTCGATGGAGAATAAAATAAAAGGGACGTCTGATAAATGAGGTTTCGAGGAAAAAGGTATAGACGATAGTAGTATCAAAATTTTTCGTCGATTTTATGTATAGATTTTGGTTTGGGCTGAATTTAAATTTGTATCTTTGTAATAAAAATATGTAATACACGAGAGCTGTGTAGAGCTTTGGAAAATGTTGATCTAAATATGTCAAAGAACTTATTTACTGTTAAATGCCTAGCTAGCGGCGGAAGGACGGCCTTTATAAAAAGAACGCGAGTAGAACTTTATGAGAGCCCGGCTATTGTCACAGCTGAACATTCTCTTTGGAGAAAGGAATGTTATTTTATTTGTAAGCAACAATGTGCTATTAAAAGAAACTACTTCGCACCTACAGAAATAACTGCATCGCAGTGAATCGTTTCTGAGATATGTGTGTGTTGCGAGGATAAAAAAAGTAATTTAATAACCTAATTTATAAACTTTAGTATCAACAATCATATAGAAAAATTCGTTCGTATATATCGGTTAGACTCGCGAAGCGATACTGCGATTCCACTTGAGAGTGTACTCGGCCGAGTCTCACGTGATTTTTGTGCGTAAAGATTCATTTTCATTCTCGCCACGCGGCGTCAATCGAATCGGCGCGAACCGGTTCGCGACTCGGTGAGAGAGAGAGAGAGAGAGGGGGGAGAAAGAGAAAGAGAGAAAGAGGTGTCGATGCGCGGCGTTGCGCGCGGCAGTTTCGAGTCCGCGCGGACCGTAATTTTCCTATCGCGGATTATAAAACCCCGACGATTCTATCCCGCGGGATATTGTTTGTCGTGTAAATATTACCAAAACACTTCGCGCGCGCGACGAGCGCGGTGCGGCGCGGCGCGCGGCGTGCGACCGCCGCGTGCGCGTGTAAACCGCCGCGCCACTCGTTCCATGTGCATCGTATACGTGTGTGTGTGTGCGCGTGTATGTGTATATATATATATATATACATATATATATGCATACATGTATATGCGTTACGCGTGGTGGATACGAGCTTCCGATATACGAGTTGTGAAACTTTTGGGTTTCCATTTGGTGGCGCGTCCCGATTGGACGAATCGACATTGTCAGAGGGTCACCCTCGGCGGCGGCTCCTCGTCCGCCCTTCCCCCGCACACGTCACGCACATTCGCGCGGACTTATGGGCATAATTCGTCGGTATTATTTGCGAGAGGGGTTGCACGCGCGCGGGTATACGTACCGGCGTTACCCGGTGCCGCGTTTTAATCTACAACTATACACACCGTGTTTACCGGCCTTTCTTCCGCCCCTTTTGTCGCATCCCTTGTTCTACGGGCGGAGATCCCCTCGAGATTCGAAAATTGGGAGATATTACCTGGATTCTCAATTTCGAGCTATCGAAGGATCCATCAAAGGTGCAGATATGACAAGCCCATCATTGAGAGGTGACCTGTGTTTTTAATTTCGGGCTATCGGAGGATCAAGGGTGCAGAAATGACAAACCCGTCAAAAGTGATTAGAATCAAGGAACGTAAATCAATGTGATTCAAGTGACAAAGAAACTGCAACATACATAGCCACGTTAGGGAGAGTTCCCCTAGTGCCGGACGCTTAAGGTTTTTTTTTAATAAATAAAAAATAATAATATTTCATTCTTTTTATCCTGCGTTATTTATAAGTTAACAATATTAGAAATCAAAATAAAGCAACAAAATAATCAATATTATTATTGTAGTTAACTTAAATTAACGTTAAACTTTAGTATACGATTTTGAGAAATCATTAAGTGGCATCTAGTATCGGACACAGTAAGACTTACTAACGTACTCAGAGAACAGTTTCAATATAATTTGCAACGATCACAAATATAATTGTCTGAACATTCAGGGATATCAGCACAAGCCGCATATGCTCATTTTTGGCAGCAAGTGCTTCTTGCAATGCCATATTTTGAAGATGCCTCTCTTTGATTAATTTCTTTTGCCAGAATTTTCTGAAGTGCAGTTTTTAAATTATTTTCATTCACAAATCTTTTTTTTACTATTCATATTGCTTAGGTGCAACTTTTAACCAAAATAATGAATACTAATACAAATAGGAATACACAAGATTAAGATTTTTATTGTAATCCGGTTATCCGGCAATAGGGGAAAACGTTTTCGTCCGGAACTAGGGAACAGTGAACCCATTAAAAAAAAATTTTTTTTGTAAAAATCAATGCACTATATGCACAAAATACAAAGGTAATTTAAAAAATACTTATCAAAAGATATAATAATGCAATTCACGCGTCTTTCGACCACGCAAATTGGTAGCTATAATAATTTATAATTTATACGATGCACCAATTTTCCGTCATACGCAACAATAAATCGATCTCTTTAGCTGTGCACACGCGACTGGAACGTGTTAAAACTTGATCGTTGTTTGATCTATCCCCTATACGGTTTACGCGGAAAAATGGCTCGATATAGCGATTCAACTGTTACAGATATAGCTGATGTTCGGTATTAAGGTGCCGTCCGTTGTTAGGGGAACTCCTCCTAAATTCTGTTCCTAAAAAACATATATTTCATAACTAAAATAAAAAGTAAAACGAAGAGTATATTGTAGGTACTCGTTTTATTGAATTGACCAATTATAATGTAAAAATAATCATGACTATTAAAAATGTCCACCTTTGACTTCACAAATTTTTTCAAATGGTCTCTCAACACTGCTGCCTTCACTAAATTAGCTTTCAGAGCCTCGAGATTTTAACAAAGTTTAGAACAAACCTTTTCGTTTAAATTTTAGAGGAAAAAGCTCATTTTAAATTTCACCAAAATATCAAGGCTCTAAAGATTGATTTGATAAAAACTGACATTTATTGAGATTTTTTCGTGCTATGAGAGTTTAAAGAAATTTTTGAAAGTATAATAGACGTTTTTAACAGTTATAATTATTTTTATTTTGTAATCAATTCAATAAAACGAGTATACATTTCACGCTGCCTTTTATTTCAGTTATAAAATAAATTCATTTTTCCTAGAAACAGAATTTATGGCACGGCTATATATATATATACAGGGTGTCCGAAAAATCGCCCGCAGTGCTTCGGGAAGTAATTCGGGACCCAAAAAGAAGGAAAAAAAGCTACATAAACATGGGTCCGGAAATAAGTCGTTTCCGAGTTGTAACCGCTTTTATGTTAAAAAAAATCACAATTAAGCGGACTCCACGTGGTGCATCCTGATTAATGCTAAAATAGTCCGAAATAAAATTATTTCTGTTAAAAAATAACTATATAAAAGAAATTATAATTATTATGATTATGACTATGAAAAATAAATTACAATTTTTTATAAAGTTACTATAACTCGGAAACAATTCATTTCCGAACCTGTGTGTGTATATATAGTTTTTTTCTTTCCTTTTAATTCCTTCGAGAATCACTTCTCGAAGTATTGCGGGCGATTTTCCGAACACCCTGTATATGTATTAAAATCATTGCATAAGTCGCAGATGATCTCCGATATTTATAGATCCTCGCGTAATTATACAACATTCTCAAGAATACTTATGTTAGAGAAATTATTTTTATTATCCTGACGCAATCGAATAAGAGAATGACGATGCCTCCGTCGTTAAAGCAATGGCAAAAGGATTTTATTACACTGGCGTTATTCCTAAATTTCCTCGCCGTAGGTATATGACGCTATGTTGAAATGCTCTTGTTGCACCTCACTCGGCGCATTTAGCGCATTTAGCAGTCGCCGGGGAAGCGACAGTAAGACGTTTCTATTCGTTTTCCAGACTCGTTCGCGAACAGACACGGAAACACCGGGCAATTACAAGCATGCGATGCCGGGGGGCCAGGGAAGCGACGGGGAAGGAGAGAGGGAGAGACGGAGAAAGAGAAAGAGAGAAAGGGGATGGTACTCGCAGAAGAAGTGCACAGCCGCCAATCACGAGGTGTCAGCGGCGGCAGGCTGTCATTAGGCGATTAAATTCCCGTAGCAGCCGATCTGTCTTCGTTCGCGTAAATCTTCATCAAGTTTCGATTTTCCGCGCGTTTCGATGCGAGGCGAGGCGAGGCGCGGCGCGGCGCGGCGCGGCGCGGCAAGGCGGGGCGAGGTGATATGATGCGAACGGCGTGAACGCCGGCGGCGTCTCCGCTCCGAAGCGCCGAAGGGCAAAAAGCACCGTCACCGCGGCGGTGATCAATAATACATCAAAGAATAACGGTGAGAATATCGGGAACGGCCAGCCGAACGTCGCGACGGCTAAAGATAACTCTACGAGACGTCTCACCCGCGCGCCTTGGAAAATACTTTAATGATAAATTCTCTTATGAACTTGGTGCCTATAGAGGAAACGAATGCCAATTAGCTCGCGATCGTTTCATTTTTCACTGTTACATGTCTCAATAATTAGGTCTGTAATTAACGACTGATTAAAAGAGTCTGCTCAAAATCATCCGTCAAGCGGGATTAGTAATGCTTATAGATTTTTCTTTAATATAATTTAATGTAACTTAATTTATTTAATATGTACAAAATTTACACGAGAAAAAAATTAATAGAAAAAAATTGTATATACAAATGATGAGACGCGTAATATTTTAACTGACAGTTAAAGAAAGGCGTTTGTATATTCATCCTTCGTATCATCCATTGTATAATTCGACAATTAAAAAAAAAACGAGATATGTATATAGATTGTATCGAGGAAATTTACATGTATCAAAGAATAAACGTCGAACGTATCAAGAGAGACAATGCGGCAGGCCTCGCGCAAAACTACGGCCGAGGAAAGAACTAATCGAAATTGGTCGGAGAGAATTTTATTAAAATAGCTGGCGACGCGACTAACTATAATATTGAGTTAATGACGGAAATTACTCGGCATTATTTACACATATAATCGCATATAAGCGTTGTTTTACGTTTTACGTACGATGTCGTAGGTTACGACCTGCATTAATCATAAGTGCGTTATACGCGCATTTAATGATTTATATTGAATCGGCGGAATAGAATTTATACATTGACAATCTGTTTGCGCAATGGCACACTTATGAATATTCGAATTGTAGACAACCGCTCTCAAGGTTGGGCAAGACATTTGCTTTATTATTGTGCAGCAATTATATGTGCCGTATTCTTAATTTATGATAATACATCTATTT